TAATCCCAACCTCTTAGGGTTATTGTGAGGGTTAAATGAGATAACCCACATGAAGTTCTCATAGCAGTGTTTGGCACACAGTAGGTGCTCAGGAAATATAAGTGTTCGTATGATTGCCATTACTCGTGGCAGAGGCAGCAGTGGTGGGTGGAGGTGCTTACTGTAGCCTTTGGTCTTGGGTGCACCCAGCATCAGTGAGTGTGTGGAATCCTGGCAGACATCGGTCACACCTGTGTCCTGTCACCCCTGGTTTACAGCTGCACTGTCCAGAGTTGTCACATCGAGCACTAAGAGAACCTGTAATCGACAAGGTGGGGCAAGGAAAGAAAAAGAGGAAATATATAATTTATACAGGGTTAGGAAGCAATTGTCACCCTATAGGAGCTCAAGAAATAATAAGTAATAACCACCACCTGCTACTTCCAGCAATTCTCTCCCATCGTCTAGTATGCATGTGCCCACTATGGACAGTTCTGATGGCCAAGGCTGTCTTCTTCAGGGAAAGAAATGGACATTATTCCTGAAAGCATTTTCATTTATACCTCTGCCTCGTTTCAACACTAAGTAGTGTGTACGCCACTGCTTTGTAAACAAAGTTTGTCAAATCCTTGAGATCTCAAGAAGGAGGAAAGTTTGTGAATGAGCGTTATCGTCCTTCTCGAAGAGTGGGCATGAGAAAGTGAGCAGGCAAAGATGACAGGCAAAAGCCATCTTTTAAGGGTCAGTGACTTTTTAAGAGTGCAGAAAGGCCTCTTAACCCAAAATATCTCCATCAACCTGGAGGGGTAGAGATTCTCATCCTTGGAGCATCGCCCTCGTGAGGAATGAAGGACCTGTGCACCTCACCTGGTCTAGAGTACTAGAGTCCTTGCCCTGTGATTAATTTACAGACATGCTCTTCCTTGTAATCGAGTCCTCTCAGATTGAGTGTTGATGAAAGACAGAAGGTTCTNTGGCTTTCTATGTCTACGTGATATTTTGACATTGACAATGTTTTCCAAAAGTGACTTGTCTTTTAACCCTTCAGCTATGTTTCCCCACCCCCACCTCAGCAGCAAAGAACCCCCCGAAAGCCCAAGCTCAGTATGTGTGTGGCACGTCCTGTGCCCAGGTGTAAGTGGCTGGCAGGATGCCAAAGAGCTGCTTTATTGCTTGTAAGGAAATGAGGAGGCAGCCTCTACCTCTGGGGCCAAGCTCACAGCTCTGTGCTCATAACAATCTCAGGGCAGGGCGGAGTTTTCAGTCTGAGCAGTTTGTACTGAAGGAACGTCCTGCGGCCACAGCTGAGGGTGGATCTCTCCCCACTGGGCCACCTGCCCCAACATGGCATGGGGCCCAAAGGGCACTTACACCTTCCCCCATTCGTGTGTGTGCTTGCAACCACCATGCCATCCCTGGCGGGTTCCTTTGCTGCACGTGATGGTTAAATGTAGCCATACGCTGCACTGTTCACTCTTACTAGAATTTTCCTAACATGTTAAATTAGGTCAGACCTCTCCTGGGAGCAAGCTGGGTCATGTGACCTCCTTACTGCTCACCGCTTTGTATCGGAGCCCCCGGGAGGGGACTCATGGGGGCCATGTGCCTCTACCGTAGTGTAAACAGAGTGGCCACAGCAAAAGCATGGAGCCCAGTGAGATCTGGGGGCTCAGCTGTATTCTTCTTTTTTTTTAAAAAAAAGCTTAGTTCTTGAGGACAGAAGGCAGGAAGGAGGTCATCAACATTTGTTCAATGTCCCTTTTCCATAACTGCTCTGAGGAGGCTTCTCATGCTCGTTGCCCCGGGGCTTTCCCTGCCGTGTGTGGACGGTCACAGTTTACACACCTATCGCAGCGCTCTCCGGTGACAGCTGGCTTGCAGACACAGCGGCCCGTGTCACAGGGCCCCGAGATGCCAGCTGGGTCACAGTCACACCTGGAGTCTCTGGGAAAGAAGAAACAGAAAATTAGGGCTGTGTCTCCAAATGGTTTGCAACTAGACACACAAAGATCAGGTGCTCATGAGCAGACGTCACCGACTTAAGCAAAATCTTTCATCTTCAGTGAGGCCTCTCTTAGGTCTTCTTACCCTCATGCTAATCTCTCTCAGACCCTTTAAGGACTCATCTGTCTATATTAGTGCTACTCCAAGTGTGGTCTGTGAGCGGCAGCCAGTCCAAGAACTGTTTGCTACCTAACC